CCTTCTTTGCGAGTGCGTGCAAATTAATTTATTAATCTTGGTAATTTTTTTTGCCCATCCTTCGCCTTCGCTGAAATTGGCAATTAAAGTGTCTGCGATGGATGGCGAAAAGCGAAAAGCGAAGAGGGGCCATGTGTCATCGCCTAAGCTTGTCAAATGGTGTTTCGCCCCGTTTAATGTGTCAACAGTGGACACTGCATTTAAACTGCCAAGTTTATTTATCAGAAGCAGCGCGGGAAATATGACACCTGATAAAGTGGTGGTTTTTATGTTCGGTGGCAACAGAAGTCATAACATTATCTTTATCTGCAACTGCCAATTTGCTGCCTGCAACGCGGCACAGCAGATAAAGAGCCACCGGCGGGACCTCTTTTCCGTCCACTTTTATTTTTCTTATTTTTGCAGTCTTGCATATCTTTGCATCCGAAAGCAGGCAGTTTTCCCCCCAAGTTTTCATCCTCCAACCAACGACAGGCAAGCTCGTTGTCACACCTCAGATTCCTCGCAAGTTTCCATTGCAGTGGCACACTCTTCGTTTCGCCTGTCCAGGTGTTAACTCATTTGCGTGGCTGTTAAGTAACTCAATAACGACATCTCAAATTGAGGACTCCCCGCGGAGGCTGCATCTCATGGATACACAGGCCTGAAGTTGCGTTTCTTAGCTTGCGATTCGTAGAGACAAATTAATGACTGCCAGTGTGTCAGCTATCGGGAAGAAACTGGTTTTTAGAGAACAACTTGGTTGCCATTTACTTTGTTTTCTTCAATAAGAATGAAAATTCAATCCATCTCTGATTTTGTAGCTCAAGGGAAGTGTAGAGATGTACTTAATATTTTGTCTCCTCTTTCTTTTCCCCTGCCAGATAAGAGGTTATTTATCACAAGCGATTTATCAAAAATAAACAAGACAAGAACATTTCGTTGTAGTTCATTATTTGGCAAAAGTTTCCTTTGGAATCATTGCCTCAACTTCAACTTCAACTTCTTTTCCATGAGTTGCAGTGGGTCCCAAAATCCCACGAGCTTGGCCAAACTCTCAGATTCGATTATTCTCTCCTTCTTTCCTCCAGTGCAATCATGGCAGGGCAGAAGAAAGAAACTTCAATCCGAATTAGCTTCAATCAATACGTATGTTCAATATTTGGCAATGGCTCTTTCTACATTCTTGCTCGAAAAGCCCGGAATCCCGGCATCCATTGTGAACAGCTTCATTAAGTCTATGGTAAAGGATGGTCATAAAAACATGGAGTCCCTGCCCCTGCAGAAGGGGAAATATTACAGCAGCCATAAAAATATATATCGGGTAAAAGCTGCTGCTCAACATTGTACTTGTATTTGCTGCACGTTTTTATCCACGGCCCTTGACTCCCTCGTGCCAAGTTTTGCCATTCAAACCGCAGCGAAAAATGAAGAAATTCATTTGGAACTCGCGTACCTGAGTCTTGGGCCAACGAATAAAGTTTCGACTTGACTGCATTTTAATCAAGCCGAGAGCCACGAACCGCATTTTGACCCTCTTGATTATGTCGAACACGGTGGGGTGTAAATCGTTCAGCTTTTGGGTTTGCGGGGGCGCCACAAAGACTTACCCCTTACCAAAGTCATAAAGGCTAAGTTGCCGTTAAATTGCGGTGAAAAATTGAGAACATTTTTCGGGTGGTTGATAGGTTTGCTCATCCTCGATGTGTGCTTTATGGGACATCAAAACTTACATTTCTTTAATTATAATTCAAATCATGAGTGGTACAATAACAACATATGATTTGCCAAGGGGCACGAAACGTAAACTCTCAAATTATATTTGCATAGAGTAAAATGACGTTAATGCAGCACGTAGCACAAGTTTCGCATGTCAATTTTCCCAGCAAATTCAATTTGTTTTCGCTCATCTCACAGATTCGTTTGCTTCCGCATTGGAAAATGTGGTGGTGTCTTGGGGTGTTGGCTAAGAGGGGAACTTGGAAGATTCAAGCTGGCACCCACTTGAAGATGGCACCACCGAGGCTGAGCCACATCCCCTGAAAATCGTCTGAGCTGTGATGAGCTGCCTTGTGTGTCCCTTTTCGCTTGGCTCGGGCTCCCCAAGCTCCACATTTTTCGCTCAGTGCAGCTTCTCTCACTTCGGCCGCCTTCCACTTAATCCATTGAAACAATAAGCAGCTTTGTTTGTTCTATCCACGACGACAGTCTCGCACTTTTCTTCTGGACTTTTGTTTTGTTCCTGCACTCCACGAAAATGGAAAGAGATGAAGAGACTAGGGCAGAAAGAGAGGAGTATACTCGTAGGTGCTACCGCAGCAGTTTTCAGTTCTTGGAAACTTAAATCTCATGGCACTTCGCTCTCCTATTTTCATACCCTTCAGTGTGTAACTTAAATACAGATTTAATAATTGATTTCAATACCCAAGACATTTACAAAGTGCTATTATTAGCAACACAGTAATAGTAACCTAAGCCCCTAGAAGGTGCCAAATATTTAATTGTCTGCCAGGGTATTAGAAATTCGCCTCTCAAAGGCTAGTTATCCTGTTACTCGGAATATGATCTCCACCATTTTTGCCCGTTTTTCGTTGTACCACCGAAGCGCGTCTGAAGTGCAATGCAAACGGAAATGGAGACAAAGGCGGCACAAAATCCCTGCCGTCTGCTTTTGGGCGTTTCATTTAGTGCTAACCTCTGGCCGCCCCCCTCTGGCTACTCCCCTGTCTGCGTGCATCCCAACCCCCTTTAATCGCATCTCCTTGGGATCCTGGCACTGCATCCCCTTGGCTAGCTTATGATGACAATGGCTCTGGCTGTGACTGCGAAGGGAGTTGCTTGGGGTGGGAAACGCCATCCCCTGGCAGTGATTACGAGTATTATAGTAGCTGCATGGTTTTGACTCCTCAAGGATCTATCCCCAGTTCGCAGCGCGTGTGACAGTCACTTAATGTGCATATGTGCGGGTATACTTATGGCATTTTTGATAAGAGAAAGGCTACACACATGCACATATACTCGTATGTAGGTACTCACATAGAGGAAGCGATGAAAGTGTTTTGGGGGAGTGCCAAGGAGTTTCATTTAATTGAAACGAATGTGCGCAGGCTAAGTGGCAAAGATGATGGCTCGTTATTACTTCATGTTCCGGGTGTAAATTGTAGGATACTTCACTAAAAATGCCTTGAACATGTAGGATGCTAGTGCGCTACGCCAGAATGGGAGCTGTAACATTTTTCAATATCCATAAATGTGTTTTTCCAGCTTTCATATATCGTTAGAAATCGTTGAGCACAAGGTTTAATGTATGATTATTTAAAAACACTGGAATACACAGGACCCTGGCCAAAACTCACTAATGAAAGTACGCAACGAGAGTTTTTAAAAGTGCTAAACTACGTCCCCTTGAAAACTTAATCACAAATCACATTTATTCGTGCTCATTGCAGCGCCGAACATAATGAAAATCCGTCTTGCTCTCCGCGTTTTAATCCGCCGCACATTCACATTCTATCGCCAGGCCACAAAAGCATTTTCTCCGCTTTCCACCGACCATTTTCCAAGCCATCGTGTGCATTGTCGCCACGGAAATCCGCCATGTTGGCTGCTGTTCGTGCCTCGTGGAGGAACCCAATGCACATTAGTAGCGCTCACACACAGCCGTAACAATAAAACTCGCTTCGTATTATTTAAATTTCAAGTTATGTGTGTGTAGAATATAGCATTATTTTTTTTGTGATTTTTTACCTGCTTGGCACTAGCACAATAAGCCATAGAAAAGCGTTACAATGCCAAGCTGGCAGGAAAATAACAAAAGTTGGCAAGAACCAGAAAAGAACTTTGCCAAGTTGTGCCCTCTCACTTTTCCCCCGGATCCGTGGAATTTTCCTTATGCGATGGGTAGAAGTTTTTCATGCAATTTCTGTGCATCTGTTGAGCGAAAATGCTGTTTATTTCCACGGATTTCTTTTTGGCCAACTCCTCGCCGCCTTTCGTCTTTGTTTCAATTGCAATATTTGCTTACACGGACTAAGGGTTAGCCTCTAACCCTGCTACCTGTTTACAATTCACTTTGCTGCTCTTGAGGAATTACACATGCTTCCCCCGTTTTGGTTCACTTCGCTTTCGCTTCTATTCCTTTGTATTTTTTCTCGCTGCCACTTTTTATGTATCGCCTGAATTTCCTCGTGCTGTTTGAGGGGCAGGTAAATCGTCTGCTTTATTTGCCCGCTACTTCAGCCGACCTTCCACCACCCACATGTCCCCCCAATTCCAAAAAAATTCACCCGCCTCTAATAAGCGTCCGTCTGCTTGGGGTTCCCCTCGTTTGCCGCTTCTTGTTTGTGCCAGCGAAAAAAAAGGACAAAAAACAGGGAGGAGCCCAACAACATGATTGGAATTTTCCGGTGCAGACATTTTTTGCAAAGGTAGTAGAATAAAAAAATTGCGTCCCTGCATTACTTCTTTGCCTCCGTCCTTTCTTGGCCTTTTATTGATTTCTTTCAGCTTTAACCATTTTGTTGTGTGCATGTTTAGTGGAAATTAAAAGTTGGGGCATTTCGTTAGCTGAAGGAATTCAAACGGGTAACTTGTTAGATGCGAAAGTTTGCTAAGAGAAGTATAACTTGGTATAATTTATGAAAATAACTACTCAACCAATAGGCTAACTTTGTCAATTAACTAAAGCACGAGTTCCAACATCAAGCATATTTCCTATATTTAAATATAATAATCATTTGAACACTTTAGTGTGTCCTTAAAGCGAAGCCCGTGTATGCCAGGCATTGGCCTTGCCTTGAGACTGCTTTTCCGGCTGATTGCATTTCAATGGCTGAACAGAAACCCGAGAGTCTTAAATTGCAAAGGGGAGCTTCCCCCCTACTTACTATCCATTAGTTGTAATAACAAAAGGCAAAAGTTTCGGCAAACCGCCCGAAAAAGCCAAAACACAAACAAACCAACAGAGAACACAAAAATTTCTCATGCTTCCCTTGCACAAAAATGTTCTGTGTGTGTTTCAGCTGGCATCAAGTATACGGACAACCAGCGTGTGATAATCCTGGTGAAGGATGTGAACGACGAGCCCCCCTACTTCATCAACCGACCACTGCCCATGCAGGCGGTGGTTCAGCTGAATGCACCACCCAATACTCCAGTGTTTACGCTTCAGGCCCGAGATCCCGATACGGATCACAACATCCACTACTTCATCGTTCGCGATCGGACTGGCGGACGCTTCGAGGTGGACGAGCGTTCCGGAGTTGTGAGGACCAGGGGCACTGATCTCTTCCAACTGGACATGGAATACGTGCTGTACGTGAAGGCCGAGGACCAGAACGGCAAGGTCGACGATCGCAGGTTCCAGAGTACTCCCGAGGAGCGGCTTTCCATCGTGGGCGGCAAACGAGCCCCCCAGTTCTACATGCCCAGCTACGAGGCCGAGATCCCAGAAAACCAGAAAAAGGACTCAGAGTAAGTCAAAACAAAGTGATAGAGAATACTGCAGTACCCACAAAATGGATTTTTACGTTTTTAAACAATTCCAAGTAAAGCTCTAAAAACATTTACATTTTGACCATTTGGACGAATACTTTTAATTAACAAAAAAGCAGCTGCTTTGCCGGCATTTTTCGCCAGTGCATGCAAATTTCGTGGTGCTGCCAATAAAAGTTATGCATAACAATGTGAACTAGACGGCGGCCATGTGTGAGTGTGTGCAGGACCCGATCTGTGTATGTGGTGGTGGGCTTGTGCTCATTGAAATTCCGATGGGAAAACAACTGTCAAAAGGCTGTGGTGCGAGTGACAAGCACACACACACACACACACACACACAGAGAGTTTGAAGTGGTCTGTGGATGGACATAAAATATGCAAGAACATTTTAAATTTCCCTTTGCTAACTTTTTCGTATCCGTATCCTTTCAGCATCATTTCGATTAAGGCCAAGTCGTTCGCAGACCGCGAAATTCGCTATACTTTGAAGGCCCAGGGCCAGGGAGCCGGCACCTTCAACATCGGACCCACGTCGGGCATTGTCAAGTTGGCCAAGGAGTTGGACTTTGAGGATCTGCGACAGCCGCACGTGTACTCGCTGATTGTGACAGCCACCGAGGACTCCGGAGGATTTTCCACCTCGGTCGATGTGAGTGAATGGCATATCCTTTTCGAGGGGTTAAGTCGCTGAACGGCTGGAAAAGAAAAGCTTTTTTAGAAGGTTTTCCTGTTAAAGGGTTTAATATTAATTATAAGAATAGGAAAATGCTGAAAAAAAAACTTTTCTTGCCACTGAAGAAGCCTTTAAATAGTGAAAACAAAAACTAACCTATTTCTTTTTCAGCTCACCATTCGCGTTACGGATGTGAACGATAATGCGCCGAAGTTCGAGCTGCCGGACTACCAGGCTCACAATGTGGACGAGGACATTCCGCTGGGAACAAGCATACTTCGCGTCAAAGCCATGGACTCCGACTCCGGGTCGAATGCCGAAATCGAATATTTAGTATCCGATGATCACTTCGCCGTGGACTCCAACGGAATCATCGTGAACAACAAGCAACTGGATGCGGATAACAACAATGCCTACTATGAGTTCATAGTCACTGCCAAGGACAAGGGTGAACCGCCCAAGTCGGGAGTGGCTACAGTTCGAGTGTACACCAAAAACAAGAACGATGAGGAGCCCAAGTTCTCCCAGCAAGTGTATACCCCCAATGTAGATGAGAATGCAGGACCCAACACTCTAGTTACCACTGTGGTAGCCTCCGACAAGGACGGTGACAACGTGCGGTTCGGATTCGTGGGCGGCGGCACTTCGTCGGGCCAGTTTGTCATCGAGGACATAACCGGTGTGATCCGACTGCACAATAAGGCCATATCCCTGGACAAGGACAAGTACGAGTTGAACGTCACCGCCATGGACGACGGATCTTGTTGTGTGAATGGAGACCAAACTATCCACACCTCGACTGCCGTGGTCGTGGTATTCATCACCGATGTCAATGATAATAAGCCAGTGTTCAAGGACTGCAGCACCTATTACCCGAAGGTCGAGGAAGGAGCTCCTAATGGAAGTCCTGTCATCAAGGTTGTGGCCACCGATGAGGACAAGGGTGTGAATGGACAGGTAATATTATAATGCCCCAAATGTTTTCTGGGCAGGAAATTGTGGCTAAAATTCGTGAATATTCTGTTACATGAAGACTCAAGAATAACAAAACGGAATATTAGTAAATGCATTGAAATATTTCACGCGATATCGTTTTTAAGCACTTCGGGGCTTTATCGATTCAGCAATGGAAAACTTCCATTCATTTTCGAATTAACTAATTTAGGTAAAATATACAATATATCTGCAATAGCAATCCCCACTTTAATGCCTCTTTTGATTATCCTTTCCCTAATTACATTCCCCTTTCGGTCGGCAAACCTGATTAATTATACGTTATTTGTGTTTTGAGGCCAACGCAAACATGATTACCCACACCTAATTGAATTACCTGCATGTGTGTGGTAACGATAGGGTGATTTCATGACGAGATTTGGCCATAATTTTCTTTTCGTGCCCGCCAAGTTCATTGCACTGCTTAGTGCATGTCGTGTGTGGAGGTCGAGTGCCTCAGCAGCTCTAATAGCAATTTGTGTCAATCATTAAACCATTTTGCATGTTTTTCGACAGGTGAAATACTCAATAGTTCAGCAGCCGAATCAGAAGGGCACAAAGTTCACGGTGGACGAGGAGACCGGAGAGGTGTCCACCAATAAGGTATTCGATCGCGAGGGAGATGACGGCAAGTTTGTATCCGTCACAGTTAAGGCCACCGATCAGGGCGATCCCAGTCTGGAGGGTGTCTGCTCCTTCACCGTGGAAATCACTGATGTCAACGATAATCCTCCGCTGTTCGATCGACAGGTGAGTGCAATAAAAATGGTCAATCTACAAAATGAATCACACACCCATTTTTCAGAAATACGTGGAGAATGTCAAGCAGGATGCCAGCATAGGCACGAATATCCTCCGTGTCTCCGCCTCCGATGAAGATGCCGATAATAATGGAGCTATAGTATACAGCCTGACTGCTCCCTTCAATCCCAACGATCTGGAATACTTTGAGATTCAGGCTGAATCCGGTTGGATTGTGCTGAAGAAGCCGCTTGACGTAAGTGTTTGCTTTTCATTTAGCCTTCAAATTAAGAAATCGATTACCCCAATTATGAGTTTGCCATATCCCTACTAACCAAGTCTTATTATTTTAATTTAAAGTTTTAATTTTCAAAAACGAAACTTTTCTTTTACTAACTAAAGTCAATGACAGATGCTTAGCATCTACCAAGTTCAGTCAGCTCCAGCGGCTTGTACCTATATCTGTATATCTTATCTTCTTGCTTTTGATTTCCGTTCAAACTGCACCTTTCTTTTCATTTGAATTTCAATATTTTACAAGACCGCAAAAAGTTGTAGGTGCAATAGAGCCTGATGTGCAACAATGCAAGTTTTTTGCCATATCTAAACAAATATCTTTAGTTTATTCCGATTGTTTTGTTTAGTTTATAGTGCGTGAAATTGGCGAAAAACAAAAGCTTACCAAGTGCAGATAATGCCGAAGAGCAAATTGATTTTTAACATTTTTTGAAACAAATCAAAACTAACACAAAACAAGAAAAAACCCCTTCAGAAGTTGGTATGAAAATGCTTATAACAGTTCAGCTATTTTTGGTGACAGGTTTATAGGTTTAAGAAAAATGTTAATATTAAAAACATTGTAGAACGCATACCCCAAAACGATCACGAATATTTTTGAGCATCGTTGGAACCTATTTTAATGGTTCTATCCATAAAATATTTTGAATTTAGTTGTACCCTCAAAACAGCATCATTTTGTATTGCCTTTTTTTAATTTATACCCAAATATTGTCCCAACAAATCCCAAAGCAAAATAAACCTAATACTTTTTGTCGAGACTATGCAATTTTTTGAACGTCTCTTGCTGGAAGCTTAAGTACTTATGCTATAGCTATTATATTTTTGTAAACAATGTTTAAATGGATTTTTGAAGAACATTTTATTTTGCATGCCCATGAGAAATGTGGCCAAATTTGTAAAGGATGTGAATAGGAAACATTTACATTAATATTCTTATTTTTAATGCACTTTACTTTTTTATTTTCTTATTATTTGTTAATTACCCATTTGAGAGGGAATGTAATTGAGGCATTTTAATAGTTTACATTTATCTTTACATATCCAATATAATGGTACTCAAAAAAAAATCAACAATTTAGGGTTGTTATCCAGTAAGTAAATATAATTACTGTTACTGTGCTAACCCCTTAAAGCAGTTAAAAAATCCAAAACTGTACGCTAACATCAAATTCGAAACTAACTCGAAGAACAGGTTGCATTTCATTGAATGTACATAATTCTGAATTTTAGGATTAATTCCATCGTAGGGTAACTCAGAATAATGCAATAAAAATAGTCTCGCCAAAAGATTCCACCCATTTGTGTGATCGAATCCACCGAATCCGTTGTTACCTATGAACTAATCCCACCCCATTCCAAATGTTAAAACCCCTTTTATCTCCCATATTTTGTCTTTTATCGTTTGTTTTACTTTTCATATACTTGTAAAAACATTGGATTAAATTTAAACAGTTGGAGGGCCAAAGGAATCCTTCTAGTTTTGAAGCCACTCAATAAGCTCTCTAAAAGTATTCATTGGGAAATATTTTTCCACATTTATCATTCACAACTCTGAATTAAAGTTAATCGAAAGTCCAACATATTCAAAACACACGATTATCTTGGTCTTTGGCTAAAACGTAACCTTCAAACCTAAGAGATTTCTGTAACACCTTTGTTCGAACAACGATGCCTTTAAATACGTAATCGCAACGTAAACTCAGTACACAAACCAAAACGTAACCAAGCTAACACTTTGGGTTCGGTTCTCGACTACTCCTTGCAATGTTAACTCCCGTTGTGCTGTTGACGCTAACATTTCGCCCTAACTGTTCTGTACTGCTTCAATCAAAATTCACCCACTCAATCAAATCATTCAACAGCGTGACCGATATCGATTGAGGGTTAGTGCCTCTGATAAGGGCACTCCCGCCTCGGCAGCCGATGTCGATGTTGAGTTAGATGTCGTCGATCGGAATAATAAGCCACCCATTTGGGATAAGAGCATTTACGGGCCGATTCACATACGCGAGAATGTCACTGTGGGTACGGTTGTAACATCGGTTAAGGCAAGGTTTGTATAGCCAATGAGAACTCACAACCTAACACTAAAACTAAAACAAAAACTAAAACTAAAACTAAACCTAACTTGCGAGTCTAACAGCTGTCGGTCTCCTTTAACATAGTCTAGATACAATTTTTTGAACCAGCGGAATAACAATCGGCTAACCTAGCATTAAGCTTTCAAGTATTTTGAACATACGGTCTATTCACGTTGCGTGAGCTTTGGAATGCGAATCCTTTTTTTTTGGCATATCGTAAAAGCTCTCACCGAATACAGCAACCAAAAGTCCTGACCAATCCGTAAAACCGAATCGAAAATGGAAGTGGAAAAATTCAAAATCCTTCAATCTTTAGTTGCTGGTGTGTAACATACATAATGATTTTGATGCGAGCAACCTGTTTTTTAAATATGGTTGCCCCTCAGAATCTTTTTTGGATTTTGTCGAGTCCTATTTCTTTCTCTTTACTAAACAAAACACATCACCCATTGGATCTGTGATTCCCCTAAAAAGACTCAAAACCCCTACATTAATTAATGCCTGGAATTGTGAGAATCGTAATGAAATTTTTGGTGTTGGTTTTCATTTGAAGAATACGCTGCTTAAACATGCGCCATATTTTATAAGCAAATCAAGGTTGCAGTTTAGTTTTAAGCTTGAGGAGCAAGGTAACTACACAAAGTGTTCAAAAATGTTAAAAAGCAATAGTCGAAATCGAAAAGAATAATAACCGCAGCAAACTGTGTAAAGTGTGCTATGAAATTATACTTATTAAATGCACAAAACCCAATATTAGTTTCTTATATTAAATGTTTAGTTGACATTTTCTTTTGAAAGCTACATATTCTCATTTAAATAATAAAACATTTCTTTTTGAAGGCTAGGGTCGAGACTATATTACAAATTTTGCACTGCATTTAAAATACTTTTTATTAAGGCCGTAAACTTAAAATGTTTTTCTTTTCCCGTTTTTCGATTAATTTATAACTTATTTACTTGCGGTGTTGGTTTACAATTTACTTTTGATTTTTAACCGAAAATCTACTATTATAACAACATCTTTTTTAGAACTTCTTAATATAAAAGGTTCCAACTACATTATATCATTTTGTTTTTTGCCTTTTTCCTGAACAAATGTCGTATTTACCAACCAATATCGACGCGTCTGTCATTTTTGCATCGCCTTGCTTGATTTTGATAATAAACCCAACCGATTTTTGAAAATATTGATCGTGAAATGTATATAAAATACAGCGCGAGACATACAAGTTAGAGGCCATGGCCCAAGACAAGGGCTATCCGCCATTATCGCGTACTGTCGAAGTACAAATCGATGTGGTCGATCGTGCAAATAATCCGCCCGTCTGGGATCATACTGTCTATGGGCCCATTTATGTCAAGGAAAATATGCCCGTTGGCGGCAAAGTCGTCTCGATCAAAGCCAGGTCTGTTCATTTTTCGTGCAAGAAAGTTTATCTAAAAAAAATCAAATCAAATTCCATTTTGCTTAGTTCGTTTTTAAGAACTGCATATTTTTTTAACATGATTCTAGATGTTTTTTTTGTCATATATTATTGGTTATTGGTGTCATGTCTTGCAATACTTCTGTGTGTTCTGAATGTTTGCTATAGATGTTTGTTAGCTATTGAATTGCCATCAAGAAGGTGTTTTTGAATACCCAAACTCATTAACGCCTTCTCCTAATCTATAGTTATTTTATGTGGTCGCCCAACTAGTTTCCCCTCCCTAATATCATCTCTTCCCATAGAACCCCATCATTTATATAAAGCACTCAAACTGCACCAGTGAAATATACACCCAATATATGCCAAAACTGCACAAGTCACACATGTATATTTAAAAGCACATTTATTTTTTAATTATATATAAACCATTTTTCAAGAAACAACTAATTTGTTTTTTTACGCGGATAATTATAGTAAAAATTAAGCATACCTAAAATTATAAATACTGTTTAAAATATATATAAACGCGTTTATTAGGCACTGCACTAACAATATTTTGGGATAGTTTTCAGAAAGATACATAGATATTTATTACCGAAAATATCCGTTTTCATATTTTTCCAAGGGTAATATTGGCTTTTGTAAATATAGTAATCTAGTATACAAATTTTGCAATGCTTTTGCAAACAAAATTTGTACGAAACCTAAAAAAATCTGGTCCTGCATTTGAAACTCCTAATCCTTTGCTCTGCGATTCCTTTTTCTTCTTGACCAGATGAAAGTGCTGCATAAACTTCGAATGGCACACAAGTCGGCTTTGTCGCCAACCTTTGCCGCATGATGAGCTGGGTCAGTTTCAATTACCTGCCACTTAGTGGAAGCCGGGGGCAAAAATAAAATATACAAGTCGCCTGCTGAAGAGTAAAGGAGGTTGTGAAAAAATGGAAAGTTTATTTTAAACAAAGTTTTGTTTTTTATAATTGCAATTAAAAAACTTCAAGCAGCGGACTTTAATGACTTTTGACCCCCGCGACACTACTTTTCTGCTTTGCATCTCCGCGGGCACCGTTTTATCTTCGTGGCAAACCAGCCACATGGCGCTGGCATTTTAATTATGCGTCAGTCCGAGTCAGTTTTTATATTATCCAATCCCATTTTTTACCCTGCACTTTTCCTCTATCTTGCCGCACTGAAAGCAAATGCACTTAAGCCGAAAGGACACGTTCAAAATAAAAACAAACGTATATAGAGTATAGTACAGTAAAGTGAAAAAAAAAAACACTGCACATACGCACCTGCACACACCTGAGCCTGATTCTGAATTGGTATCTGTATCTGTACCTGTATCTGTATCTGCTGTTTAGCGTTAGTTTAGTGCCCTTAAGTACACCTCCTTTGTGTTCGCAGCGCAATATTAAGGAAATTACAATCTATTAAACGTGCTTGGGTTCTGCTTTCCGCTTTCTGTTTTCTGTTCTCGCCTCTGTTCTTTATGTGTTTAAATTTCGAATAAAAAGCATTCTCATCCTGAGTTTTCTTCGTCGCAATTATCTGGTCATGTCCCAGCACAGAAATTTGTTAACAATATGTATATATACATTGGGCGCCATTAGGAGAGGGTTTAAGTGTTTTGGCGAGGGCGGTTTGAAGGACTCCCCAGTGTGCGCGTATATCATCATAATTGTGTTTGCTCTTGGGGCGCCGCGAGTCCTTAAAGGCTCAAGAAACAAACGCAACAAGGTCGAGAATATATTTCTATAGAGATTTCTTAGATAGAAATGTTGATTACAAGCCTATTATTTTACGTACTTCCTTTAAGCCAATAGCAACTAGTTTAGCCTTTAAGCGAACTGCAAACGGCCTACAACATTTACTTTATGTGCTCAGTGTACAGAAGCAAATAAGTCCATCATTTTGAAACACTTTATTTTTGGGTTTACCAACACAATCAATAAAATTAAAATCGATTCACACCATCCAATCACAGAACAACTACAAAACAAAACGAAACCTCCAAGAAAATTTCATGCAATCCACAAATTTCCCAACCATTTTCCCACCCACCATACCGCCATGAATTTTTTTTCTTCGCAACAATAATTTTGGTGTCGTTTTTTTGTCCTTGGCAACATTTTGCGCAGTCCTGACAGTTTTCATTTATTCTTAAGACCCGTTCTTAAGGCTTTTTTCCTGTCAGCTGCAAATGCTGTCCATGTTCAAATAAAATATATATTTTCTGCATACTCGTATATACAGTACGTATATACTTTGCTCTTTTTTGCGCCTAATTTGATTTTCAGTATCAAGTGCCGAACCCATTCCCAAAACAGTCAAATGGCAATTAGACTTTTTGAGGCCATTTGCTTAATATTCGGTTCGTTTTTTTCGGTTTCCACCTTACCAACCGCACAAAAGACGCTTCAAGGAATTTTGTTGTGTACGATTTTTTAAAGCACACAACGCAAATTTTGACTGCACATAGTTAAGAGCAAAAATTCCATTCATGCGTCATCTTTTTGTATTTTGCAATGTCGCATGTGCCTTAAACAGAGATATATTTTTGAGTGTGTGAATGTATGAATGTATCTTTAAGAGCAACAGAATGGAGCTAACGCAGCTAAACACTGTATTCAACTTGAGTCCAAGCCCTTCTCTTGCTCTTTCAGCATTTAACCAATTGATTTTTGATAAAGTTAACATACAAGTATATTTAACGATTTAATTTGTAGCATAAACATAATTTCATGTAGCAAGTATCTAACCACGTACGATATTGTCACTGCCCTTTACTAATGCATCACCCACTTTACACTTGACCTTTGGCCCCAACGTCTGCAGTTCGGGTATTGAAGGCAACCCCACAGTTTTTTATCGACTGATGCCCGGGTCGACGGCCCAAACGAACAAGTTTCACACGTTTTACTTGCAACAAAGACCGGACAATGGCGATACTTGGGCTGATATAAAAGTTAATCATCCGCTGGACTACGAGAGCATCAAGGAGTACAATTTAACCATACGTGTTGAGGTAAGTTTGTCCACATGCCAAAACTGCAAAGAATCCGAAGGAAATTCAATTTAAAGTTGGCAAATATTTGCACAATTTTCAAATTCAGACGGCAGTCGAAAGTTTTCGAGTCGGTCTTAGGCCCAATTAGACATGTATTTGACTTTTGTATTTGCGAATGGCTTCCAAATACGTTTGTAATTATTTGATTTGAAAAGTTTTAATTACTTGCGCGAATTTCCTTGCCGGAAAATGCAAATGCCAGCTCCGGTTCGTTTCGAATTCATTAGAAACTAACTGATTGAGTGACGGGGTGGCGGTCCGACGAACTGACTGACTGACTGACTGAATGACAGCTCGCGGCTCAATGGTAATCAAGTGCATTCCCAATCAATGTCAAGTTTCAGCATTTCCTCATTAGTTCGGCCATTCAGCGGAGGACAAACTGGGTGCCAGACTAAACAAACCGCCTGCTGAAATATTAATGGGAATTCCGCTGCTAGCCGCAGCCTAATGAAATGTTATAAAAATGCATTTGCAAAGGGCATTTGCACCGTTGTGCACTCGATGTGCAGGTAATTAAATATCACAGGGTTTCAGATTCATATCCTGCAAATGACCCACTAAAAGCTAATGGTCTCGATGGGCAGGAAAACGAATTTCTAAATGAATTTGAAAATAGTTTGCGGTTTTGGGGAAGCCATGAAAGCACACATTTCCGCATATTAGTCTGACAATACATTCGTATTAATTTTTAATTCACGTTTTTTCGCTTTTGCGGTTGGCAAATATGTCAAATATACTTTTTGTTCAACCTGCGGTTGGTGCTAAATTTCTTTAATAATTGAAACTTTTGAACTATATTAGGCAGTAATTAATTCCAAAAATCAAGAATCGAGTGTGTGGGCTTAGAGATTTGCGTATAACTTATCAAAGTTCTGCGGCCAAGACCCAATCATGGTCAATAACATGTCTAATTACTGCTCGTGTTTACCCAAGAAAATGGAATAAGCGCAAAATAAATAATTCATATCGGCACTCCACTCCATCAGGATTCCGGCTGCTGTCCACATTAGTGTAAACATATGTGTGCAAATGTGTATGAATACATATGTATATATCGATTTCATATGCATTGATTAATAACGTAATGCCGGAATCTGAATGGCAAATATTGCGCAAATAGACGTCATAAGCAGTAATGTTAGTTGGGCCAATCGGCAATCTGGCCGTAAACCAACTAATAAATGACAAGTTGCCAGTTAGATTTATTCTATTGATTGATGGCAAGTGTGCAATCAATCATCTGGCAAAGGGTGAAACCGACACTTGACATAGATACCCATCAGCACAAATAACCATTTCGACTTGTAAATAATGTGCGAGACACTTTTTCCACAACGCTGAGGAATTTTAACAATTTTTAATCAGCCGAGATAAATTGCAAATTAATATACAAATATTTCATCAGAAGCAAAGGCGGCCAGCGAAACCCACTATGCAGACTTTATTGCTTAATTAAAATACAAACACTCAAAAGATCGGGAAAAAAGTTATGAAAAATCAAACGTGTACCCTTTTTAAATTGGTTTTTCCCACTTCTCTTACAGAACAACGGGGCCCAACAATTGGCTTCGGAAGCGACCGTTTACATAATGCTCGAGGACGTTAATGATGAAATACCTTTATTCACCGAACGCGAACAGGAAACGGTGCTCGAGGGCGAACCGATTGGCACCAAAGTGACACAAGTGAACGCCATCGACAAGGATGGCACATTCCCAAATAATCAGGTGAGCAGCGAGCCATTTCGCAGCGGGTGGGAAATGGAGGGAAATCGGGTCAAAACGGCGGAAATGCCGGACGACTGCGATAGCAAATTAAAGGGAGCGAAAAAACGAGTAAGCGGAACCAAATGGCTGGCGGAAAAATCCAGATGAAATGCGGATCTACTTCAGCAGAAGATTGCTTAAATCGAAGATTGGTGTTTCTGGAACTCACTTAAACATAAGTATTACAACAAAACGGAGGATTCAGCAGGTTTATATAAGGGAGTGCAATTGTAAACGGCTTAATTGCATGTATCGTGCCGAAATGCAATAACCTGCATTCAGCTAAGACTTTAAGTTTCAAGCAGTTCGATTTATAATTCATAATACCCTAATTCCACAGCATCAGCACCCTCTCAAGCGCCTTTGCCTTGAAACCCCCCAACGAAGCCTTGTTTAATCCCTTTAAACTGCAGTTTTCAGCGTCATCTTCAAGTTTCACTCACTTTCTGAGCCACCTAGAGTTCTTTGGTACCCGCCTTCATTTGCCCCGCCCTGCTGTTACGGACCCTTTTACGCCTTTGTAATTGTTTTTTGCTTCCCGCTGACCACGTCCTTCGTCCATTTGGCCATTTGGCCATTTGGCCATCAGCTGGCAGCTGGCTAATAAATGTCAAAGAGTTAACATTTTTGCACGCCTTCCAAGTGTGTGCTAAGCCCTTGGTGAAAGTCCAGGACTAAGGAGGGCGTTTTGAAAAAACTAATGCAAAATGCAGGGCGCGGACAACCGCAGGGTGATTTCCTTTTGTGATGAAAGGGTGGTGGAGATGGGTCGGGTCTTTCAGACAGACCCCTCAAGCCCTTTTGCGATTATAATAATATGGCACTTTCGCGTTGGCTATTCTTTGTTTTTATTCAAGTCCTCAGCCAGCCACAATTTGTGTCCTCTGTCCTCAAGCCAAGTAATTTGCATGTACGCGCGAAATGTCCGCACTAATTAGCGTTTTCATTTATAGTCTGCTTTTCCCCCAAAACGGGCTCTGGATTTGATTATAATTATCGTTTCTCTTTAAAGTCCGAAGCGGTAATTAAATTCGCCCACTTTGGCCACCCGAGTTAAATTCTTCATTTTCCTCTCTGTGATGTTATGCGCGCTTGCATCAAATCCATGTCTTAATTAGCCAGAGTATCGAGCAGAAATAAACCAGATTTCCCTTTCAGGTCTACTACTACATTGTGGATTCCCCGCGAAACGAGGGCAAGGAATTCTTCGAGATCAACCTGCAGAGTGGGGAAATCTTCACCAAAACCGTCTTCGACAGAGAGAAGAAAGGCGCCTATGCCCTCGAAGTGGAGGCTCGGGATGGAGCCCCCTCGGCTCGACCCAACAGCAATGGACCCAATTCAGGTAAGTCACACAGTCACTTTCAAGAGTCACCTCAAGCTTGTTAGCTTAAAATGTGCCGTTAACCATATAAAGCTAAAAGTTTATCATTTTGCAAAATTAGCTTTGAATATAGCTCTCTAAAAGCAGTGCTCTCCGATAAGAAAAATGCAACACAAAAGTATCTTTTAAGAAACTCAGCAAGTATGCACTTCGGATATGATCTCACAAGCGGCAGAATCGTTATTCATAGACAAGCCTTGAACATTCGAAACGAAGTCCGATTCTGTATATTTTTGAAACTTAAAATTTATGCAAAGTGGCAAACTTTTATCGCCCCAAGATTGCGAACGCATAATGTAGTTTCGAAACAAATTGTTGAGTTCTTGAGTGTCACCCGAATTCGCTACAAATGGCAGCAAATAAATTTGACTCAAAATTCCCCAAAAACCAGAGGCGAATTCGCTTTGCAAATATTTACCAGTCTGCTTGTGTGTGTGCATAAATACTTCTGTGTGCGTGTGTGCCAGGACGAATGTGTTTTGTCGAGTGCATTTGGGGCATTTTATGTATGCGGATGCGGAATGTTGGCCAGGCATTTGCCACATTCGGCGTGGCGGACATCAAAAACGTTTACGTTTACGTCAGCCGGGCGTCCTGAGTTTGAATGGCTAAGCTGGTTGGTAAAATATTTGACGTAGGTGCGGATTGTTGACGGGACTAAAAGGGAGGCCCGGATGTCAGGGGAATCGAATCGCAAAAGCATTAGATCTGATTGCAAGAATAACTTTGCTGGGAAGCAGATTAGCGCGTGGCAAACGGGTCTTAATAGGATTAACATTTGCAAATAAATCAACCTGGATTTAATTATGGAAATACCAAGTATTTATTAATTGACTACCTTAATCCTTAATCCATGTTTGTCAAATGCAAAAATGCTGACAGAAATACCAATGCAAAGTGTGTGACAGTTGTCAACATTCCACATCAGCAATTACACATTGTTCGCAATTAAGCGCTTGTCAAAAATGTAATTTTCCAAATTTGATTTGCAACTTGTGGCTTGTACCAGTGGTTTCTTTTCTCATTTGCTACACATTTCCATGGGTAAGCCTTGGCAGCATTGTTATTTGCTGTTCATTAAAAATTGCCCCTGAAATGGCAATCAATTCCTCCACACTCCCATCCTCTTGGCCATCACGGCTTTATATTTTGCCGGATTTTTTGTTGTGCTGCGGCGGTCTGTGAAAATGCTTTTCAATTGTTTAATACGTCACTAAGCCGTGCATAAGCTCGTGGTAAATGGAAACGGCGGAAAACGACTCGCTTGCGGGCCACATTGAAACTGATGTGCAATCAACATGGGCGCGAAAGAAGAGGGGGGGCTTTTGGTCATGAAAACGAAAATTAAAAAGTTTCCTGCCTGTTTGGAAAAGGGAAAGCTGCAGAGATATACAAGTATACCTAAATTACCGCAGTTGCTTTCAAATATTGATATTCATGTTGAGCGAAAAAGTTGTGGCAAGGTTCTTGGGGTTTTCAGGAGGCTGGCCGCTTTTCCGACGGCTCATTTTCGGGGTCAGGTTCTGGCAACAGCTTGTGGTTTTGCAATTTTCCCAGCCAAAACAAACAGGCATCGCTGGCTGGGATCTTGTTTAGAGTAAAAGGCAATAAACTATTGTTAAAAGCCCGGCCGCTGCGATGATTTGTTTTCGGTTCTATTTTTTTTCCACATCGGTTTCGTTTTCATTTTCTGCTGATGCGAAGCAAAAGTTTTTGGCTTTTATTTATTGTTTTTAATTGATGTTGCCATATTTGTTTTTACGTGGCATCGCCAGCAAATGTATATATATATATTTTTTTATTGTGGGCGGTATATACATTTTATTTTGGCAGGCAGCAAAAGCTGAAATTGTAAATCTGTGGCAGGAGTATCTCTTCGCATGTATTTACATATGAAATTGAGTAAGTTTCAGGCATCACTAGTTGTGCTTTATTCATAGCATTGAATTGACCCGAAGAGCTTGAAAATATTCAAAAGTCGTTGGTTGTACAGTCGGAAAAGTGTCTTTGGCTTGCTACATTACAATATACAAGGTTTCAAACAAAAATGTCATAGATAAGGGTGCATTGTCTTTCACTTAACCCATCTGTAAGAAGTGCCGTATTAACACCTTTAAAAAGTTAAAATTAAAATTGATTTCCTGGTATTTCCTGTACTCCTTGGGCTCCGAGATTTTCCTTTGCAAAGCTCTGGCTTTTGTACAATTTGCCTGTCACTCTTGGCGCTTCACATTGGTTTTGCCAAGAATATTTCCTGTTTGTATTATGCTTTGTTGGCATTTGCGTTTGGTTCTTCCTTTTGCATTTATTGAAGTTTCTGCGGTGCTTTGACTGCATTTGTGTGCAATTTCGTTTTCCACGATGGCGGAGTTTTCCACCCCGCCCATTGTGCTATTTCCCAGGACTCCGTTTTGCATTAGTCGGGGCAACTCATATTATTTGGCCTTTGTTATTGTTTGGCTTTGAGCAGGGCTGCTTTTATCCTGTCTGCGACCTTGTGACCCATTTAAATGCCAACAATTTTGCCACAGCTGCGTTTCGCCTTGCATTTTCCGCTTCATTGGCAAATAGACCCGAAGCGAAAAATCATTTGCCTAAACAACAAACATATCTGTTATCCCACACGCACACAAACGTTCAAACTCAGAATCATAAAGATACAAAGGCACTGAAAGAAAATAAAGGATAAAATTTTCCCTGTCATTTAAACTCATTTCAAAAGGTGTTGTGAAGTGTTTGACGTATAATGTTGAATATTAGTCTGAAGAATGCATTCATTCACAATAACACAGCTCTTTAGCAGCAGCATAGTGTTTTCATTTTAATTAAATTGTTTTTAAACTTTTTGCTTGTGTACCCAGTCACCGATGTCTTGTTTTGTCCGTCGCTTTTCTTTCCCATTGCTGTTTGGTTATCTGTGAAACGTGCTCTTTTTAGTTATGCATACTTTTAGGCTTAGCTACCTCTCCGCACGTACCACATCCTTTGGCTTTCTGGGGAATAAATGCGCCAAGAGGGAAACCAAAACACCAGACAAACAAAACATGACAAATGTCGGAAAGTTAAATTTAAGCAACACTGGGCAGTGCGAAAGAGTTATTTGGGGAAAACAACCCCGACGGAAATTATTATTTATCCAGGGGCCCAAAATTGAGCCACTGCCGCCTGAAGCAGTTTAATCCTTTCCTCGTTTGGTTCTCGTAAAAATCGTATTAGATAAAATAAGCAGAATTTGCATGACATACTCGAGTGGATGGCCGAGGGCGACCTTAGCAATCACCCAATTGTTACACACATCATAAATTCAGAGAAAATAGCAGAGAGCAAAGACTCAGCTTATTGGGATACAAAACCCTTTGGGGCATAAACGCCTCCCAAGCAGTTGTCTAATTTCTGGGGCGGAAAGAAGTGCTCGTAAAAAATGTTCGAGGCCATAAAATAGGGCCACTCCCACCGAATATTACCGCCCCTCTGCCGGCGAACAGCCATTTTAGCGAAGAAGTTGTTTGGAACTTTGCTCTAAATATTCGATAATGCTTTTATGCCATGCATTCAATTTATGACTTCCTACGAAAGGCCCAACTATTTGTAAATAGTTTGTTTGATTTTTTGCTTTCATTTTTTTGCCACTTTAAACTCGTCTCGTCGCACATTGCGCATACGCAGTGATGTCATCGGGAATGGAACAATAAATGGCCGTCGAGTCGTGAATTTCCTTTGCCCATGGCTTCTCCCGCACTCGACGGAACCATTTATCTTGATTGCCGCACTCCATCATTTATGATCGATGTTTGAACTACGTCCTCTCGGTTAAAGACATTAAAAATAGTCGGCGATGACCATCGATATTTGCTGTAAATTGAATCTGTTTGTTAATAATGGATTTTCATTTGTTCTCCTCTTTGCAGGTACGTAAATGGAACTTTGCACAGTCGTTGGTGACTATGACTGATATATTGGGATCTTTGTGGTCGGTAAGATAAATATAATAAAGAGTTGAATGCCAGAAATCGACCATTTAAACCAAGTTTGCTTTCATCTTGGCATACCCAGCCCATAAATCCTTGCAATTAGATAAGAGACAAAGGAGATTAGACAGCTTAGTACTTTATATGTATGTATGTACACAGATGTAGTTGGCCTTCGTGGAGTAGTTTTGCACTGTTAATATTAGCCAAGCAATGCCAAACAATTTGTCAAAAGCAAAACGAAGGAAGCGAGAGATGAAGTGGAAGACAAAATAGACGGCAAACTCCATTCGAATATATATATCCCTGACAGGGCGTGTGTGTGTGTGTGTGTGTGTATAGGAGAAATCATGAAAAATGGCATTTCCGCATTGCCAACTTCATTTCCGCTTTTCCTTCCGAGCGGTCAGAGTGGCAACAAGTCAACAACAAGTTGGCCAAAGTGGCAGCTGCATTTACCATTGAAGAGCTGACAACGTCTTGAGAAATGTCCGAAGGGAAACGCTAAAATAAAGTAGAAAATAGAAGGAAGCAGGGGAAACGGTGCAAAGTAAACGCAAATATGTACTTTTCGACCATAAAACAAAGCTCCGGGCACTTGGGCCAATTTGCTACGTTTTTCTGGTTAGATGCCGATAAACAAGGGGAACTAGTTGAATTTTCCGTCCTTCTCGCCCTTTAATTTGCATAAATCGCCTTAAAGTGGCTGCCAGCATATTCAACACTTGCCCACAATGGGCCAAAAATAGGCACAGAGCCGCAAGTTTTCGCCGACTCGAGTCAATTGCGCTTTCTAGAGCAATAAATCTTAGAGATTATTTTAATTTCATGCAAACTATTTCAAGCTGAGCTGCGTCGAGATGGCTGTCAACAACTTTTGCGACTCGAGAGCAGAGCAGCAACAAAAGATAGCAAAAAGTTGCCGAACCTACGCAAAAAAATTAAAGGAGGTTACGCAGTGAAAAGCACCAAGTTCTCCCTAACGGTAAAACGAGGTTGAGTTCCACACGCAGAGATGAGAAAATAACATTCGGTGGCGGAAGCTAACAGTGCCCGAGCTCCTTCTTGGGATCCACAGTTCGAGGGGAGAAATGTAACATGTTTTCGAAAACATTTACATACCGAATGTACACTGAAGTCGAAAATGTAGGGGAATACTTACAGAATAATGAAAAGTTGTAGATGTTTTACAGGGCAGGAACAAAATAGGCTCCACATTCCCCTAAAAATGTCTACTAGCAGTATGTTTGTTTACTTAAATTTGTATTTGCCGAATATGAAGGGGAATGTTTACAGAATAATGAAAAGATGTAGATGTTTTACAGGTCAGGTCCACATTACCCCAAACATGTCTATTAACAGTATGTTTGTTTACTTAAATATGTATTTGGCTGACAACAATTTAAAATAGGTATATTAAAAATACTTTTTTCAAAGATTCAACTCTTGTTTTGAAACGAAAAAATATATATTTTTTAATTTTCGCCTTACCATGCATAAACAGACTTTAAAATGTAGGGAGCAAATGTTAGCTTACGCCTAAATGTACGTACCTCTGTTAACTTAACACTGCAGTAACCTTTTCGAATTTCCTCTCTCGTGGCAAAGACCCTCTCTCTATTCGGTGTGGAACGCATGTAAGCGCCATTCGCGGGCAGTCTTCAAAATCCTTTTAACAGTGCCGGCTTTTGGCAGGTCTTTGAACCTGATCTACCACCCAGCTGCCTCTGTGTGCGTGCTCGTGTCCGTGTGAATGGGGAAGGACTCTTAACATCCTGCCATGCTGTTCATGGCGTTTTTCGAGGACGCTTCTGAGCATGTTGAGCAGCCATCGAAGCGAATGCATGAAATGCAGCTCATACTCTTATATAGAGTGAGGATGCTGCCACCAAAAATGCGAATCTGTTGAATGGGAGTGCTGAGTGTTATTTGATGAGCAATTTTAATGCAATTCGCCATGACCTTGACGCCCATCGGCTAAAGAGTGGCTTTCCATTTTGCGGTGATTCCAATTTATTAATGAAAATAAGTCTTGAAACTTTTCCGAAATATTTTTTTAAAGCTTAAATCGTTATTATGATTTCCCTGTGGAGATGGTAACCTTAAAACTGCTTTAAGGACACAAACGAGCTCTTGCAATTGTGGGCGTGCCCACGCCCACTTGAGCTGATATTTATGGCACCGCACTTTGGGTCCACTTTTCAATAAACTGCTTAGTCGCAGTCGCAGGCCACAACAGCAGCGAAAGCTCCGCAGAATCTTCTGCCCCATTCGGTGATTTATAAGTGCAGGTCTTCACACCCTCGACTCCACAAATTCCCACCACCCCTTTTTGCCAGCGCCACTGCATGCATCTTGTTGCTATCAAAGTGCAAATAAATTACCGACAGCGGAGGAAGAACTGCCCATTTGGCATAACGCTGGCCAGGAGCACAGGATATGGGGAGGGATTTAGTCTGCTGCCTAAGCGTTTTCTGATGAGACAGCTCACCTGTGCGCTGAAGAAAAAATGTATAAAAATGTAAGGTCAATGGAGTTCTATTTTTATGGAGTGAAAGTAAAAGCTGGAATAGGAAAGACGTCGTGAATAAATTTAAAGAGGCGATTGATATTAGTTTTAAATATCTCGGAACAACATGAACATTGTTTAATTAACATTCTAGTGCGGAATTATTTTAATTACCACAATGTTCAGTTGCTTGCATCTGGCCAAGAAAACATGCTCGGTATTTGCTTGTGGCCCAAACAGGCCATTAACTGGCCTTCATTCACTTCCCTTCACATTGACATCGTTGTTGGCGTTGTGTCGACGCTTTCAAACGTAAATGACACGTGTCAAAAGTCAGTAGGAGCAACCATACTACAAAAGTGCCACGCCCACGCAGACAACTTTAATTGTTTACGAAAGTCCGAGACCACTCAGCGCCAAAATGGTAGCAGAAAATAAGGTTAATACTGCCGGAATGCTAGCAGAGGGCTTCGGTCTCGTTTTGGCCAATATTTCCTCTGAAGATTAACGTCACATCCACGCAGCTTGGCACCTTTTTCAAGCCAAATGATTAATGACAGCAATTTTGGGGTGAAATTCGGGTGGAAGAGCATTCTGCCTCTTCCTGTTCAGCCGTGGGCAGCTCGCCCTTTGATGGAAATCTACTTGTTGGCGCCAGTTTTTCAGCCAATCAAATTTGTCGGGAGGAAAAGCTTGGCCAACTGATTTATTTCCCAATTCCAGAGCATTAATGATTACCTAGCTTATGAGGATTAAGGACATTTTTCCCTGAATTATTCATCGAGCGCCAAGTTCTTGCTCCCTCCAACTATAAATCATTTAAAAAGATCATGCAAATAGTTATGGTCCGCAAAAAATGCATACATTAGTAAGCATTTAAAAGACATGCCAAAATATATTTAACCTAATTTTCAGATACTACGACTTTTTTAGTTATATAACCAATGCAGCCGCGAGCATAGGAGGATTTGGTAGGACTACATTTTGGCCACGCAAGAGCTGTTCGAAAAATGTCAGATGCAAGCGCATAAAAGCAAACATCTGGCAAATTAGTGGGGCACAAACAACTCCAGGTAGCTGGCTTTTAACCCTTCCGGCTGCAATATTGAAAGCCCGAAAGAGATACACGGCATGGCGGGAAAGGAGTACGAATGTCGTTTGTCGGCATTTGTCACGTGCAGTGACAGGTGGTGGGGGCGGCGGATGTGGGCGTGGCTGGGTGTCGGTTTGTTTGGGAATTTGTGTGCAGCGTTTGATTGAAAGGCGTTGCGATTGTCGCACCGCCACGTTGCAATGCCTAACCCCAAAGGCATGGGGCCACCCTTGAGGTATACATATATTGGTGGGTAAAAATTCGAGGCATCCTGCACATAGCAGCACTCAATCAACCCAGCCAGTCAATCAGCCAGTCAGTCACTCATGCATTCAATTATCCAATGCAATTCATTTGAACACGCGTGCACTCGAAATTATTGAGCAAACGGGTTTTGTTGAAACAGTGTGATGAGAGGTACAAAAATAAAGTGCCCACAAAGGTGGAAAAATTGCTTATTTCCGCGCTGAATATGC